TGATGCACTGTCATGCATTTTCCATTGAAGTAAACCTTTCTCTACATTGTCCCCATCAAACATTCCTAGGACAGAGCTAGCACGTGGTTAGATACGGAATAAAGCTCCCTTTACATTGTCCCCATCAAACATTCCAAGGATAGGGACAAGCAAAGTTGGGTGGGTGGGCGTCAGTGTGAGGTTGAAGGGCGACTCCAGCTCCTCCATTGTGTCAAGTTTTGGCCAATAATCTAGGAGTTGCTCTCAGTGATAACTGGCCTTCATTTGAGTCACTGGCTATCAGTAACAAACCTGCATTGGCCACCTATCAAATGCTGTCTCTGGGAGGCCTTACCAGGAAGCACTGTGCTATCATGAACATTTCAATTTTCTGAAAGTTCCTCCACTCTTCAAACTTGTTCAAATATGTAAAGATCCTTCTCAAAACTCTAGTAGAGCAAGAACCTTAAAATATTAGCAAGGTACTTGTGAAAACTCTATCTCATTTAAATAAACTTAACAGGCTTGCATTCAAATATTGACAGCTCCCACATCTGTAAACTATATAATTTGTACTTACAACAGTACGGGAACCTAGTGAGAGTCAATGTGTAGTGGTAATGGCACTAGACATAATTGACAGGATAGTGAAGGTGGTGTTTGGTACGCTTGCCTTTATTGGCCAGTGCATTGAGTATAGGAATTGGGCAGTCATGTTGTGGCTATATAGGACATTGGTCTGGCCTACACATGACTCCACATCCACAGCATTGTGGTTGACTCTTAACTGCCCTCTGGGCAATTAGGGATGGCCAATAAATGTTGGAGCAGCCAAGGACACTCATCTCCCATGAACAAATTAAAAAGAGGTCTCTGCCTCAGGACCACTGTGAAATGAACCATTAATCAGCTGTGGTTGCTAGGGTTCCCTGGAAACATTGTTTGACAGGCTTTCCATTTTTGCCCAGGGTGCTCTTGAACACGAGGAGAGTAAAACCCTGAGGATCCAACTTGAGCTCTCACAGATCAAAGCTGAGGTTGAACGCAAACTGGCAGAAAAGGACGAAGAAATTGATGGTCTACGGTGAGCTGAACAGTTTTGTTGAACATTATTCTGAATTACACATCTTATGGAATTTGAGAGGTTGGAGCAAATTGTTCAAGTAGTTAAGAAATTTAATTCAGAAGGATCTACCTTCTCCCAACTCGGTAGTGAACACAACTCATGCGGTTTAACCTTTCCTGTTACACTGCCAATGCAATATTCACTCCTGGCCATTGAGATCCCACAGACTACTTCTTAATTTAGAGTACCTGACTGAATACTTATGCCTAGGGTCAGAACTCTTTGCTGTAATCAACAGTTTGCCTCCAATTATTAGGATTGTGGATATTATATCAATTGGTTTCAAAGAATGAATGATGAGAACAATTGGGCACGTTACAGGAACAGATTCCATCTATTTTAATGCTCACAATGACAGAGGCTGGTAGGAAAGCAGGCTAGTCTTCTCAAATATGTTTCACCCAAAGTCCCATGGGATGATCCAACGTCCCTTCATTTAGATTATGGTGTCAGGCCATTCCTGGTCCCTCCACATGACATTGAGAAACAACTGAGTGCAATGAACTCTGCAAAGGTCGCCACACCTGACAACATCCTGACTATAGCCCAGAGCATCCATCCAACAGAATTGGTCACCTCTCCATTAAGCTGTCCTACTTCAGCAAGAATATTAATATCGACTAGACAGCAGGTACGCACTGTCCATCAGCTGAAGAATCCGCTTTTCCACGTTAAGTTCCAGTTGGAAGATGCACAGTAGGAAGTAAGATTGTGGAACATATACAGAGTAGGAGATTTTAATGCCCTAGAGCAAGACACTTGATAGCAGCATTCCTGATTGAGCCAGACAAATCTTGAAGGATCTTCTTGTCTGAGGTTGCAGTGGGTGGTGAGAATCAGAGGGAAAAAAAACCTACATCTCCTCACCAATTACCTCATTGTGTTTATACCACAACACAAATCACTGCATTCAACATCACCATGTCTATTCCAGGCGGAACCATCAGCGAACTGTTGAACTGATGCAGGCAGCTCTTGATTCTGAGGCAAAGGCCAGAAATGAAGCTCTTCGGTTAAAAAAGAAAATGGAGGGTGATCTGAATGAAATGGAACTGCAGCTGAATCATGCCAACAGGCAAGCCGCTGAATCCCAGAAACTATACCGAAACCTTCAGGTCCAGTTTAAGGTCAGTCAAGGCCAGGTCTGATCTAAAAGAGATTGGAAAATGTGTAAATTGATCGTATTTAATTCAATGGTAAAGTTACCAACGTCTACTAGACCATAGGCAGCTCTCCCGTTAGACAGAGACAACTAGTGGTGGTTTAACCTGAGGGTCTCCATGCCTCAGGCAAGAGGAAAGGTTGAGGGGTTGAGTCCTTCATGGTAACCGTAGCTGGGTGCAGAAATTGAACTCACTCTGTTGGCATCACTCTTCATTGTCTGGCCAACTGACCCCTGACAGTTTGGATGGCATGGTGGCACAATGGTTAGCACTGCTGCCTCTCAGCGCCAGGGACCCGGGTTCAATTCCATTCTCGGGTGACTGTCTGTGTGGAGTTTGCACATTCTCCCCATGTCTGCGTGGGTTTCCTCCGGTTTCCTCCCACTGTCCAAAGATATGCAGGCTAGGTAGATTGGCCATGCTAAATTGCCTGTGGTGTTCAGGGATGTGTAGATTAGGTGGGTTATAGGGGGATGGGTCTGGGTGGGGATGCTCGGATGGTTGGTGTGGACTTGTTGGGCTGAAGGGCCTGTTTCCACACTGTAGGGATTCTATGATAGGAAAATGGATTAAAGAAAACTTCAAATAGAAGTCAAACTTTACCATTTGCAGAGTAACTTAGTTCTGTTATTTAAGGAGCTCAATCAAAAAATCTTGAACATCATTGGCTCTAAAATAAAGTATGATTTATGTAGGACATCCAATTGGAACTTGATGAAACCATTCGGCAGAAAGACGATTACAAGGAACAAATTGCAGTGGCTGAACGACACAGCAACCTGTTGATGGCGGAACTTGAAGAACTGCGTGCAGTTCTTGAACAGTCAGAGAGGGGCAGGAAACTGGCCGAGCAGGAATTATTGGAGGCAACTGAACGTGTGAACCTATTACATTCACAGGTAAGCTCAGAGAGTGAGTGTAATAAAGAATGAGATTTCCTGCTGTCCGAGCAGAGAGAAAAATAACCTTTTCTTTTGCATTTATTCAGAACACTGGTCTCATTAATCAGAAAAAGAAACTGGAGAATGACATTAATTCTCTGAGCTCTGAGGTAGAAGAAGCAGTACAAGAATGTCGGAATGCTGAGGACAAAGCTAAGAAGGCGATAACGGATGTAAGTAGTGGTACATCCGAAATTTCCGGAAAACTATTGACACAGTTTGGAAGTAGTTAGACCAATTCAATAGGAGTTGCATAACTTGCAGATTGGCTCACTTCAATTATCTCTAGAAAAGCGCAATGTGTGAAATGAAGCCATAACCTAAGGACAGCAGAGCCACTAGTCACTGTTTGAGTGCAGCATCTCTGCACTTTTCTCTAAGCAGCACTCCATAAATGACCAAATTTACTGGATCCAAGTTCACACTTTGACATAAAGGGATTTGAATTCAACCTTTGGGCTGATTTACTAGGTCTGCACCTGTAAGAATATTTCTAAAGATGCTGGCCATCCCAAATTTCCGGTTTTCATGCCACAGGCTCCTGTCCCTCTTGGGTGTATGTAGTCTTCAATAGTCTAGAGGTGATTGGGAGTGGGACACGGAGGCTATAATCATAACCTTTACCCTGGCCCTGAACAGCAGGAATTTTAACTCCAGCATCAGAGAATTCCAACTTGTAAAATGTGTACACATTTCCATCATTCATATTCTGTTTGTGATCATCAGTTTTGACTGTAATGATTGAATGGTTTTCAGGCTGCAATGATGGCTGAGGAATTGAAGAAGGAACAGGATACCAGTGCACATCTTGAGAGGATGAAAAAGAACATGGAGCAGACAACAAAAGACTTGCAGCTGCGTCTAAATGAAGCTGAACAGATCGCACTGAAAGGAGGCAAGAAACAGATCCAGAAACTGGAGTCAAGGGTGAGGGACTTCAAAGGGAAAAGTTATAGCATTTGTTCGGTTTAATCTACGGTTCGGTTTAATCTAATATTTCAGGGTGTGGGACTGGAAGCTAAAGGTGCACCTCCTCTGGAATGAGAGCCTGAAGCCAAATGGACACTGAGCTAATTGTCCCACTGCATCATATCCTCACTAGTTAGTAACTGGCAAATGGGAGAGAGGACTGGAGGCATGAGGAAACAGGTATGTCTGCCTTGTGAGTGAAGGCTGGGTCAAAGTGACCAGCATGGGGAGTTACAGCACCCCTTAAAGCCTTGAAAGGAACTGAAGAATTTAACCACCTTCCTAAAACAAAAGCTGAAAATTAGGCCAAAGAGCATCTATTGAGTGAGGAACAAGGCTAATGTTTCAGGTACCATCAACCTGAAACACTGATTTACTCTCTATTGACACGACCTGACCTGACCAGTATTCCCAATGTTTACTGTTTGTATTGGGTTTCCAGCATCTGCAGTATACTACATTTTATTTTAACCGTCTCTCTTTAGCTCAGTCAGGGAACTGAAGGTTATGGGGAAAAGACAGGAATATGGAGCTCAGGCTGATCAGATCAGCCATTGTATCATTAAATGATGGAGCAGGCTCAATGGGCTGAATGGTCAAATTCTACCCCTACATCTATGGTCTTGAAATGCAAATTATTTGTTCATGTAAACAATTAGTAAAGGATAGTGAACCCCAGATTCGTTTTTGCAGGGGTCAGTACTGGAGAAGGACGAGCTGATATTGAGAAACAGCGAATCTCTCTCAGCCCAGAACACATGGGAGCAGAAGTAGGCCATTCAGCCCATCGAGGCTGCTGTGCCATTCAATGAGATCATGGCTGATCTGATAATCTTCAACTCCACTTTCCTGCTTTCTCCCTATAACCCTTGATTCCTATACCGATTCAAAATTTTAAAACGCCCCAAACACAACCCAGCCTTGACAGGCCTCTGCAGTAAAGAATTCCATAGATTCACCTTTCAAGAAAAGGAATCCCTCCTAATCTATGTACCCAATTGGGAGACCCCCTTTTCTGAGATTATGGCCTCAGGCCCTAGATTCTCCCACAGGGGAAAACAACCTTTCCACAGCTATCCTTGGAATCTACCCTATCTTCAATAAGGTCACCTCTCATTCTTCTAAACTCCAGTGAGTTCTCCTCCTGAGAGAATTCCTTCATACCTGGGATCAGCCTAGTGAACCCCAATTTGGTGACTTCTCCAATGTCACTACATTTTTCACTAGTGTATTTCAGCTCCAGGTCTAACCACCACCTTTCATAACCTTAGCGAGATTTCCCTATTTTTATCCCCTATTCCCTTTGAAATAAAGGCTGACATTCCATTTGCCTTCCCCATTACTTGTTGAACTTGGAGCTAGTTTTTTTTTTTGATTTGTGCACAAAAACTCCCAAATTCCTCCGTGCTGCAGTTTTACACAGTCTTCCTCCATTTAAAATAATATTCAGCTCCTCTGTTCTTCCTGCCAAAGTGCATAACCTCACATTTCCCCGTATTATATTCCATCTAACAAATATTTGCCCATTCACTTAACTGGTCTGCATCCCTCTGCAGACTCTGTCATCCCCACCACTTGCTTTCTCACTTATTTTTGTATCATCTGCAAACTTGGTGACAGCACATTCACTTTCCTCATCCATCTCATTAATAAACTGTAAACAGTTGTGACCCCAGCCCTGAACCCTGTGGCAAGGTTCAGAATGGTTACCAGATTCCTCACCATCATAGGTGACCTGTCACTAAATGGAAAGTAAATCTTTTTGAGGAGGAAAACATTTAGCTCATTGAGGTGATTATAATCACAGCAACTTGTCATTGTGGGATAACAAGGTGTAGAGCTGGATGAACACAGCAGGCCAAGCAGCATCAGAGGAGCAGGAAGGCTGACGTTTTGGGCCTAGACCCTTCGTCAGAAATGGGGGAAGGGAGTTCTGAAATAAACAGGGAGAGAGGGAGAGGTGGATAGGGGAGAAGACAGACAGGTCAAAGAGGCGGGGATGGAGCCAGTAAAAGTGAGTGTAAGTGGGGAGGTAGGGAGGAGATAGGTCAGTCCAGGAAGGACGGACAGGTCAAGGGAGCGGGATGAGGTTAATAGGTAGGAGATGGGGGTGGGGCTTGAGGTAGGATGAGGGGATAGGTGGGAGGAAGGACAGGTTAGGGAGGCGGGGAGCTGGGCTGGTTTTGGGATGCGGAAGGGCGAGGGGAGATTTTGAAGCTTGTGAAGTCCACATTGATACCATTGGGCTGCAGGTTTCCCAAGTGGAATATGAGATGCTGTTCCTGCAACCTTCGGGTAGCATCGTTGTGGCACTGCAGGAGGCCCAGGATGGACATGTCATCTGCGGAATGGGAGGGGGAGTTGAAATGGTTTGCGACTGGGAGGTGCAGTTGTTTAGTGCGAACCGAGTGTAGGTGTTCCGCAAAGCAGTCCCCAAGCCTCTGCTTAGTTTCCCCAAAGTAGAGGAGGCCACATTAACAGATGTGCAGGTGAACATCTGCTTAATGTGGAAAGTCTTCTTGGGGCCTGGGATGGG